ACCTTCAATGGTTCTCCATTTTCCTAAAGCAGGGTTTTTTGTTTCTGCTTTGGGTTTACCCGTTTATGCCCCTAGACCCTTTGAAAATCATGCACTCTCACCCGAGAGAAACGTGCACAGGCTTATAAACCAACTCTTTGCAGACAAGTTCAAGGGCTTCGCTCTCTCCAAAGCTCATCTCATGGACACCTAGGGATTCATAGAACCTGTGCAGCCCTCAGATCCCTTAGTCCTTTAGGTGAAACCCTTCTCCTCCTGTCCAGCTTCATTTCCCACACGCCCCACTTACACACCCTCCCTGGCTGGAGCCAACCCCTTTCCATTCCTGGAGCACACAACTCCTGTGCCCTAATGCTGTTCTTTCTCAGCTACCTACTGAAGTATCTTCAAGACCCAGTTCCAATGTTCCTTCACTCTGATTCTTGCTTTTCCTTCCAGAATGAACTGCTATCTCCCTTTTGTCACACTTATATCCTTTTCACAGCATGCCTTTCTCTGAGTGTTACCTGCTCCTGGCTGGTACACACACGACCATATTCATCTTTGCTTCTCCCCTGCCTGCCCCTATGACACAGGGCCCGCTGCACGGCTGCTATTCAACCAACAACGGCTTCCTGACTCTAAAACGGCTCCCACAGCTCTTTTTTAATAAACATATGCATGATGGTTTGGTATATTAACCATTATTTGAGCTTTTCTGAAGTTTATTTGCTTATCTTTTCCCTCCTTGCTGATTTTCATGTGAATTATTTAAATCCATCTCAAAAAGTCCTTGTAGCTTTTGTTATATTCATAAGGTTAGCAACTATAGAAACTATCAGGGTTAAACCATTCAGGAAACTATTCCACAAACAGTAAGGACAGAATATATAAAGGTCACTGCAAATGTATTCTATTTGAATAAGAATTAAAAGATAGGAAAACTAAAGGTGAAGTCTAGTTTCATTTTAATGCAGAGTCCACAATTGACACTTCCCATTTCTGCCTCACCCACAAAAATCAAAATCAAAACATCCACGCTAAGCACTTATTATTTTTTAGCTCTAGATAAGGTGAAACTTCTATTTTACTTTGTTAGCGCAGAGAATCTTACATAAATCCAATAAAGCTGAAAATGAGTTTGCCCTATGGAGAATCTATAAATATTAACAATAACAAACAAATATTCACTCATATTCTTCATATAAATAATACACATCAAAATGGATTTTATAGTGTCATTTGACCACTATTGAAGATGAAACATTACTGAAATTCAGGAAATGCATTTTATCTGAATTCCAATTTGAAATTCACACGTTACGGAAATCTTGTGCCAGTGGTTCCCCATTGTTACACCGGGGAAAAATCAAAAAGGATTTACTGCTAGATAACCAAACACCAATTTTAAGCCTTGACTTCACTTTTGGTGATTATAAATAAATATTGCTCACACTTGAACGGTTTTCATCCAACTAGGTCTTATTCTTAAACAGATCCCTCCTAACTATTATTTGGGGAAGTATAATATTCAATTATTTTGTGTGATATAATAAGATGTTACACTTAGGTATTTTATTATATTGTTCTCTATCATCAATGGGAAATACCCTGTTAATTAAAAAAAATTCAGGATGCACAGCAAAGGATAAAACTTCTTAGCTCCACACATTTCTCCTAGGTTTCTCATTCCCTTAATCATTGTAAAGTCTGGCGCCATCATTCAAAGAAGTAGGGAGAAGGAAAGGGAAAATTGAATTAACACCTCTCAGGCTTCAGGTGTTGTGCTCCATCCTAGCCTCACAATACTGTGAATGAAGGTGACATAACTCCAGGTTTTACAGATAGGTAAACTGAGGCTCCATTTTGCAGAGGTCACATGACTACTGAAGGGCAGCTCATGCAAGGCCCTCTTGGCAGAAGCCTTGTTATGTTGGCCGTACCCACGGCTCCTTTCTAAAGCATTATCTGATGTGGCTGTATTTTCTACCAAATAACCCTGTCACCCTGGCCACCACTCACTGGACACAGGATTGGTGCTGGACCCAAAGCTGGCAGATGATTCAGGGGGCTGCTGTGAAAAGACGGCTGGCCGCACCCGTGTGACGCTCTCTTATAAAAGAATGCAAGACTCTGAGGGAAGCAGAGAGAAGGAACAGTAGCACCAAGACCCCCGTGCAGCAGCCACACATGACAGAGGTTACATGCGACTGGAGGAGAGGAGTACCAGCACGAGGGCCTGGCAGGAAGACGCGTTCAAACAGAGTCTAATTGATACTCATAAAGCACTCATTAAGAAAATGGCAACTAAACCAAGAATGGAAAGATTTCCTAAAACTATAAACCCTTGAATATAAACATTATGAAGATGAAATTATGGTAATCAATATTTCAACAGAACATTATCCAGTGGTTTCAGGATTGCACAAAAATATTCATTTTTAGGAGAACAAGGCTGCAATAAGAAAGTAAGGACAAAGAGCCACAAAAATCACTGAGTTTCATTTTCTATTATGGGACAGCAAAGAGACAGCAAGACAAGAATCACCTGAGAATTTGTTTTGCAGACCAGTGCCAGGACCAGGTGAAACCAATCAAGTCAGACACTTAGGGGTTGGGCCCAAGAATTATAAAAGCTCCCCACGTGCTTCCGTTATACAGCTGGGGATGAGACCCACACTCTCTCTCAATCAGTGGGTCTCAAAGTGTAGCCCAAGAAGCAACAGCATTAGCATCACCTGGAAGAACTTGTCAGAAATGAAGAGTCTCAGGCCTACTCCAGAGCTACTGAATCTGAAACTCTGAGGGTGGGGCCAGAACTCTGTGTTTTACAAGATCATCCAGGTGATCCTGATATACCCTCAAGTTTGAAAGCCGTGGCCTTACATAATATTGAAAAGTCAATCTTTCTTTTTATTATAAATATATAATATCTATTGACAATAAACTGAAAAAAATCCTACAAATATGATAGGCAAAGGCTAATATCCTCAATAAAAAAGCCATGTAAAGACATAAAAAACGTATTTAGATACTAAAGACATTAGAACACAGGAATACACAAGCAATTTAAAAATGTTTATTTAAATCTTTAATTATATAAAAATCAAGATACAAACTTATACGTACAGAGTATGTTTAAATCATGGGGTGGGGGCAGGGAGGACATGCAAAGAAAAAAATTCCAAAATAATAGCCATGGTGGCTTCTGAGTGCTGGGAGTACAGTGTAGTGGTTTTGTAAAAATAATGATAATGTATTATCTTTATAATTTTTAGAAACCATATTTTAAAGTACGATAGTTTGAGCACTATCACATATTATACACAAAAGTTAAAAACAAAATAGTAAAATTATTAGAAGGAAATAAAGGTATTTGTATGACCTTGGGGCAAGAAAAGCTTTCTTAAGACAAAAAAAGCAAAAACCTTAAATGAATTGATTGATACGACTGAAAATATCACAATTTTTAACTTCTGTAAAATAAAAGACTCCATAAACAAAATAAAAAGAAAGCCCAGGACTGTGAAAAGATACAACACACATAGCAGACAACAGGTCACTGTCAGAATATAAAGGATTCCTGTAGGTCAATACAAACAACTAACAACCCAGAGGAACTAATAAAAGCCATGACAGCGCAAGTCACAGGAGAGAAAATTTAAAAATATGAACATATGAGAAATTACTCAAACCCACTAGTAATGAGAAAATTGATTCGTGTTTTTTTTTTTTTTTTGAGACAGAGTCTTGCTTTGTTGCCCGAGCTAGAATGCCATGACATCAGCCTAGCTCACAGCAACCTCAAATTCCTGGGCTTAAGCGATCCTCCTGTCTCAGCCTCCCGAGTAGCTGGTACTACAGGTGCGTGCCACCATGCCTGGCTAATTTTTCTATTTTTAGTTGCACAGCTAATTTTTTTTCTATTTTTAGTAGAGACGGGTTCTCAGTCTTGCTCAGACTGGTCTCGAACTCCTAAGCTCAAGCAGTTCTCCCACCTCAGCCACCAGAGTGCTAGGATTACAGGCGTGAGCCACGGCGCCCGGTCAGAAAGTGAAAATTCAACCAAGGAGATACCATTTATTAACCTGTCAGATTAGCAAAAATCAAAAACTCCATCAATATCAAAGTAGTACGTTCATGCTTTGCTGTCAGGGATGTAAATTTAGGGAGCAATTTGAGAAAATCTGGAAGAACTGAGCCAACCTACCCAGCAATTCCACCACTAGGCATCAACCCTCAAGTATACATGCATATATGCACAGGATGGTCTGTACTATGTTGCTCTTTATAGCAAAAGAGAAAAAAAATTTGCTATTTTGTGAGAGCAAAAAAAGTGGAAACGACCTAAATGTCCATCAGCAGGGAAAGAGATAAATGAAATTTTATACACTTATACAAAGACATACTGTGCAATAAAGGGGGAAATATATTAGATCTATAGGTAACATGGGTAGTTCTCAAAAAAATAAGTAAAAAAAGCAAGTCACAAAATAAAATGTAATTTATAGGACCGTGTACATAAATTATTAGAACGTTTGTAGCAATATATGTTTTCTATGCATACGTCTATCTACGTAAAAAATAATTTTTGTAACCTGTAAGAATACACAGAAAACTCACAACAGAGGTGAGGTTACTTCTAAGGAAGGGCATGGTGGTCAAAAAGGACTTTGGCTTAGTCTGTAATGTTCTAATATATTCAAAAGGGGACAACACATTCATTACTCTCCTAAACACTGTTTTAAGACAATTTGGAAGTAAGCCAAAGTATTAATTTTAAATCCTGGTGGGAGAAATATGGGTATTTGTCATTTTCTCTTTTGTATTTTTCTTCAACTTTTCAATCATTCCCCTACAAAAAGTGCTTTGCAAAAAAAAAAAAAAATTCAAATAACATGCTGCATATGAACATTTGCACCCACAATAATGATTTGATCCTGATGTACTCAAATCATGTGGTTTTTATGATTTTATTATAACATTAGTAAACAGTTAAGTCAAAATTAGACCATACTTACGCATGTAAGGCAGCTTTTCTGGGCAGGGGAGGTTTGGTGAATATGTGAAGTTTTCTGGAAGATACGTCGTCGTTTGAACAAGATAATCGCTTGAATTATTACCTTCAGGATAATCTTGGAGAGACAGAAAAAAGTTAACAACCAAAAAACTGCCTTTTGCTTTGTCCCTGGTATAAAATATGTCAGTGTCACTGTAAGAAAACATTAATATGCAATCTACAGAAGTCCTTAAAAGCAATTATCCATAAAGAACTAGAGAAAAGCAAACCTCTGCTGGAATGGACCTCAGAGCATGATTTCCCAAGTCTAAAGTCTAGGGAGCAGCAGGCCCTTGTCCTTGCATGCAAACATAGCAGTCCCATTTGCAACAGTATGAGAACACCTGCTCCCATCCCTGGCTGAGCCAGATCTAAAAGGAGTGTGAAAGTACGACAGGGAATCCTCTCCCCTATCACACAGCCAAGGATGTTCCTAACCATCACAGAACTGCAGTGTGCTGTCACTAGTACCCACAGAGCAGAGGGGTGGGAGTAATGTTTTCTCACCACCTCACACTTAAGAAACTGAGATTTATCCACTCAACTTACTTCTGTCACACAGCCCATTCTAAACATTTAAATTAGTCATTCCCAGCCCATGGGCTGCAGCCCCTGGGGAGCCCTGGAGTTGTTATTACATTAGGGCCATTATCTTTAGGGTCAGCAAGTTATACGGCATATAGGACAGTGGTGTAGAGCACCAAAGTCAAATGCCTGAGTGTAAATCCTTACTCCTGTACTTACTAGCTGCATGATACAGCGCAGGGCACAGCATTGCTTCTCATCTATGCCTACATCATATTGTGGTTTCCAGATGTCAATAAGATAAAATGTATAAAGTGCTTGGAACAATCGCTGGCCCATATAAATATTCAATAACTGTAGCCATTAGTGATTGGTTTAGTAATGAGCACCTGACCCATGAGACAGGCACAGGCTTAGGATTTTTGAACATGGAACTGGAGAGATTACATTTCAGTCCCTTTCTAGGGCAAAGTTCTGAGATGCAAATCTGGGAACTATGACATGCGGGTTTCCTGCTATGCAGCAGAAGCCGGCCTAAGAGAACGAGATCAACACGCAGTCAGAAACAAGAGATGGAAACAGCTAATTAAACTACTGCCTGTCTCCTGAATCACAAACCATGTATCATAGAAAATGAAACTTTAGCAGACATTTCAGGAAAATGTGAAGATGTCCTTTCTATCTTCAGTAATCTGCTCCAATGAGAGAGACTATAAAAGCTAAACCCTCTGACACATGGAAAAATGGTACAATCCTGCAAATTGGATATGAGGTGTGTGAGAAGAGCCAAAAAAAACTAAGCACCTCACCTGCACACCTTTACCTAACGTCAATATTCATTCATTATCAAAATGGAGTTGATGGGGATGCAGCCAGGGAGCCAGGACAGTCCTTCAGAGCAGAGCTACGCACCCCACCTCCAAGCCCAGCTAATGGAAGAGGGCCCTGCCGAGGCTGCTGAGTAGAGGTTGCTTGGGGTGGGTGTAGGGGGGACTCCAGGCCTGGCTGGTATCAAGGAAGAGATAGAAGTGACATGACAAGGTCCAATTCCAAAGGACTGCATGGAAACATCAGTTGTGAATTTTACAGGGCATCAGTAAGGCGTTGAGGTAATTGTATTGCCAGAAAACCCCAACATGATAAATACAGACTGATGATGGTACAACTGCTAAGGCCTATTCCACCAGGAAGTGGGAAAGCCCCAGTGAGAGAACCCTCCCCAGTGTCTATCTCTGGACGAGCCCTGGAAAGCATCTGACAAGGAATATTCTTCACGCACAGGGCATGGGAGGGGATTCAGTGGACACTAATTGTTTTGTATGCCCAGCAACAGACGAAGACCACAGAAAGTCCTCTAGTAACCCAGGCTCTTGTCTCACCCATACGTATCTGGAAGATTTAAGGATACTAAACAAAAGTGTAGGCTCGTCCAAAGGTAGTGAGTTATCTCAGTTGATTGTTCATAGCCAGCTACAGATTGAACTCCTTATTCTACTATTTTTCCCTGCTTCTCACTACTGCACTTGACTAGTCTAAAAAAAAAAAAAAAAAGTCAAGTGTAAGGAAGCCCTATAAAGTTCTGATTCTTTTTTCAAGTTACTTTTAAAAAATATGTCTAGATATATACCAAATTTCAAGTTATATTTTAATTTTTTTACATGTACGGCAAGGGATGCAATTTTTTAAATTAATTTTTTTCCAAGTTATATTTTAAATGAAAGGTTTCTCATTTTATGGGGACTCCTACTTTGCTACTGACAGGAGTGAGTGTTCCAAGCATAAATTAGGTTTCTGTCACTCCCACCAGAAATGGTTAAGATTACTATTGTTACGAGTTTTGTGATAGCTTTTGGTCAAATTCATTGATTTACACCTTGGAGTTGCTTATTTATCTTCAATAAACAAATAGATTTTGCTGCTTAATAATAACATAACATACTGGTTTTTTTCATTTAAAAGGAAAATAAAGCATTCTGATTTTAGGGATACAGTAAGAAAAGAAAAAAAATCAAACACAAAAAGAACTTTTAAAAATTATAAAAATAAGTTTGTCAAAATTTAAGAAAGCAAAAGATTATAATAAAGTCAAAGCAATCTCCCAGAAGGTAGAAAGAAAAGAAAAAGAACTAGAAAACAGAAGAGAAAAGATAATAAAATTAGAGGGTTCTTTCAGGAGTCACAAAATCCAAACAATAGGAGTTCCAGAAAGAAAGAAAGGAAAATACAGGAAGACAAATGATCAAAGAAATAATAGAGGAATATTTTATAGAACTGAAGGATAAGAGTTTCCATAATGATAGGCCCAACTGTACCACGCAAGAAAAGAAAAACAAAGCTCCAAGATGCTTTTTATAAAATGTCACAATACAAAAAGAGCCTAAAAGTCTCCAGAAAGAAAAAACTGGTCCAGGTACAGTAACTGCCATCAGAATGGCCACTGGATTTCTCAAAAGCAACACTGGAAGAGAGAAGACAATGGCATGGAAATTTCAAAACCCCTCAATTTATGTGCTTAAAGAGCTCAGGAAAAAATCAATGATAAATATGTAGAAGGCTCAGCAAAAGGGGAAAAAAGAGTTAACGAGTAACATTAATAAAAATAAAAAGATCCACAAAACAATTATGACAATGACTATTTGACTCAGGAAAACCAACCAACCAACCAACCATTATCTACGTACTCTTCACAACATAAACAATACTGATTTGAATTTAAATCATGATGTAATTATACTGGGGAATAAGGGTAGGTAAAATTGGGGTGTGCTATAAAGTACTAAATGCCTTTCTTCCATAACAGGAATAGTTCAATTGATACATCAAGAGACAGCAGAATAGAAACATGAAGATAAATACAGAATAAGCTGTTAACAATTAAAAGTTGTTTTCTCTGAGGACTGGGACTCAGAGAAGAGATAGGCTATTTTTTATTATAACCCTTTTCTACAATTAAAAGTACTACTTAAGAATATAAGAAAGCTATTTACGCAGTTTGCTTTTCAATAAAAATAAATGAAAGGTTAATACAATAAATTCTGAACAGCAAGTTCTTCACTAGTTAGTTAGATAGCTCTCTCTTACACACACAGAGTTCATCTTACAGCTTTCTTTGCACATATTACCGGAAAGAACAGAGGGCTAGCTATATAAAGACAATGATTTTCCTTAATCTCTTCATTCCATCAATTTTTATTAAGCATCTACTATATACACTACACATTTGTAGGAACTGGAAATAGAAGATAAATAAGGTTGTCCCCAGATGCACAACTATGATATGAATTTTTTTAAAAAATTTTTTTTTTTTTTTTTTATTTCAGCAAATTATGGGTGTACATACTAAAAAAAATTTTTTAAAAGAATAAGGTTGTCCCTGGGGGTCAACTGCCTTTATTGTGTTCCAAAGACTCATTTTCCTATGATCCTGAGGCAGAAAAATATTTACATTCTCATGCAATCCTCAAGTAATTTCTCAATGTCATGTGTTAACTTTAAATAACAGTATTTTCTTACCCTGCATCATTTATTAATTCTTATTGTTAATGCTTTGGCCCCTCCTCTATAGCCATATGCTATGGTTCTATAAACCCACATCCAACTTACAGAAATGTTAAGCTCTCTAGACATTTCTGCATAACAAATTGATAACTCCCCCTGGGCAGTCTGGTGGCACCAGGAGAACCAGAGAGAACTGTTTTTACTTTTTATTTTAGCGTTAGAACGACTGAATCACAAAAGAAGACATTCATCACTTTTATCAGTTTTTAAAGAACCAAATTAAAAAAAAAACACACACCTTAAAGTCATGCAATATCAATATATTCACTTCCTTTGAATACAGAGTTTTGGAGCTACACGTGTTATTCTTGGCCACATCATTATCAATGATCGTAAGGAGCTCAACTCACTGCCAGACTTAGAGAAACGCCTACACGCTCCTTGAAGGAGTACTTTGTCCAGTGGTATTTATGTCATTCCAGTGTGTTATGTTTACATAAGTCTACCCACCATCCCAGCTGCTAGGCTGAATATCTCTTTTAATTGAAATCACATTGTCTTTGATTTCTAGCATCTAATAAAGTACCTACAACATAGTAGGAACATACTATAAATAAACACTTCATAAGTGATAACACAGCCAATGATGACTGAAGCTTTTGGAGACTATCCCGTAATAAACCCACAAAATCCTCAGTCCTACAAAAGTGGTTAGGTAAGCAATGTCCATCAAGCATGACCACTGCTTTGCAACAGTTTTAAAAAGTTATGTATGACAGATGCATCTGAGAGATCCACCACAACCACTATAAAAAGTAGACATTATTTCATCTAATTAATGGATGAGAACAAAATGAGTTTTGAGCCCTCTGCTTCATTCCTCCCTTCCAGAACCACAGCCACGGCTGGGCACGGTGGCTCACGCCTATGATCCCAGCACTTTGAAAGGCCAAGGTAGGAGGATCGATTGAGGCCAGAAGTTCAAGATCAGCCTGGGCAACATAGCAAAACCCCATTGCTACAAAAAATTTAAAAAGTAACCAGGTGTGGGGGCACATGCCTGTAGTCCCAGCTACTCGGGAGGCTGAGGTGGGAGGATTGCTTGAGCCCAAGAGTCCAAGGTTACAGTGAGCTACTGCTACTGCACTTTAGCTTGCAACAGAGTGAGACCCCATCTCTAAAAAATTAAAAATAAAAAATAAAAAAACAAAACTACAGCCAAAGAAAAGGGAAACACAGAATGAAAACTTCTGGGCAGATCCTCCACTAAGCTCTCACTGGATCTTATCACTTAAAGAAAAGGAGAATGGGACCAAAAGACATCTCTCAATGGCTTTATTTTTCCTACAAAACGGCAGCTTAAAACAGGTGGTGGAAACTTGATGAGAGTTCTAGTCTGTTTACCACTAACTCGTCATGTCAGGCTGGCAGTGTCTGAGGGCCTCACTTTATAATAAGAAGTGTGCAGGGTTATTTCTAACAAACCCACCAACTCTAACACTGCATGACCTTATCATTTTCCTGAGGAATTATGCACTGAGTACATCTTGTTTTCCTAATGTGACTGGCTCTGTAGGCTACATGGAAAGGCTCATTTGATTATGAAAGTATATAATTTCTTTACAAAAATATTATATATCTATTAACCACAGAAAGGTGTACGGTTAAAAACCCCTTTTTGAAATCAAATGTACTTATAAATATTATGATCTAGTTACCATTTAGTGTTCAATTTTAAACAAGCCACTACACATTAATCAAGTCTGCCCTAGGGCTCAACTAGCTCTTTGTACACCTTATAAGCCATTATCTCCTTTTTGGCACATTGTATCTATATAAGTCTGCGCAGAAATAACCAGTTGCATTGTGAATAACTATTTATGTTTCCATCTCTCCCAGCAGCCTAGAGATCCTCCTATAAAGGGAGAATGTTGTTATTAATGTCACATCTCCAATATCTAAATATACTAACTATAATAATTCGATAAATGCTGGATAAATGAACATAGCAGAACCTCATAGTTGCTGACCCTAACTCCATTTTCCCTTTTCCCTTAAATAACAGAACCCCAGTTTCAGTCAGTTCCAGTGAGCCCAGCTCAAAGATGGTATTTCCCAGCGCCACTGCACGTGACCATGCGATTGATTTCTGGCCAATGAGATGTATTAAGAAACCCTTTGGGACCTCTGGAAAAGCTCCATGAAAGGGGGCACCCTATTTGTTCTTCCCTGTTCCTTTCCTCCTTTCTACTGACCCAAGTACAAACAGAAAGACTGGAGCCCGAGCAGTCATCTTAGATTACAAGTTAACTGTGAAGCTACATGACAAAGCAGAGAAAGACAAGCACATGGTAACTTACTTTCAGGAGCCTCTGTGACACCCGCAGATATCCAACTTCTAGACTTCTTTTACATGAGAACCAAAAGCCTCTGCTGTCAGGTCCCTATTATAACCAAACCCAATTTCGAACTGATAAAATGACTGTTTGCTGAGAACAGTTTTACTATTAATATCAGTAAAGAAACAACATGAAAAGTGTTCAAAGGTTCATAGAAGCCAACTTTTTTTTTTTTTTTTTTGAGACAGGGTCTCATCTCACTCTGTTGCCCAGTCTGCAGGATAGTAGTGGCATGATCATAGCTCACTGCAACCTCCAACTCCTGGGCTCAAGCAATCCTCCTGCCTTAGCCTCCCAAAACTAGCTAGGACCACAGGTGCATGCCACCACACCCAGCTAAGTTGTTTTAAATTTTTTGTAGAGACGGGGTCTTGCTACATTGCCCAGGCTGGTCTTGAACTAGTGATCCTCTGGCCTCAGCCTCCCAAAGTGCTTGGATTACAGGCATGAGCCACCATACCCAGCAAAGTAAGCAAACTCTAATCAAAGTTTGCATTGGTTCTTTGGATTTTATTGAAACTATGACTTGGTGAAAGGAAGAAAGGATTTCCTTTTTTTTTTTTTTTTGGTTGCAGGGTACTAGAGGGAAAGTTTGACTTGCCCAAGTAATGGTTTCTCCTAATCAAGCTCAACATTCACACATATAACTTATTTATACCTCAGGAGAAATCTGATATGCACAAATTTTTAGTACTCACACAAATACACTAACCTAAAGACATTTTTTTCAGTTCGACAAACTTTTAATGAACATATTCACAATCAACTTATTCAACCAGCGCAAGTCCTACAAAAGCATTTAAAATGTTTAAACTTCTAAAGCTGACCTACTATTCAGAAGATTCATTAACACAAAAGACCAGTTAATGAGACTTTAAAACTGTAGTATTAAAATATGAACTATGTTGAGATAGTTCTTCTAAAAGAAATTCCTTTAAAGTTGAAAGATTAAAAGAAAAGAGTGTTTGATGTGTGGCATCATAAACAAATTAGGCAAATGATAAAATGGATTTTGTTAAAGCCCATGTGACATTAAATTGAGAATCACTATGTTACAGTCCTGAATTTTTAGAAGGGTCTAAAACTATTACCCACCTTAACATATGTTTAAGAAATAACACCTAGGGTGGGAGATACAGACTTCCTATTAGCAGCGAGTATGTGTAGGTTTGGCACAAAGAAGGCACAAAGAAGAAGTGTTGACACCAATTAAATCTTTAACTGTTTAAAATGAGAATATAGAAAGTGCAACAACTGTCAATCACACTGAACCCTTTAAAATAACACCTAATAATACTTCGGGAGACACTGCAGGAACACTGCCATAAAGCAGCATTAGCATTCTTCCACAATAGTTAAATCCATTTACGACAATTCTACCATCACTGAATCATTAGTTTGGCCTAGATTTTAATCATAAGTGTTTTCTAACAGACCGTCTACTTCCAGATAACATTTACAAAGAGAAAAGCAGCTACTGATTTCTCATGTTATAGAATTTCTCCTTTAGCCCCTCAAAAAGGCCATAAAACTACTAAGAATCTTCTATAATTAAAAACAAGTATTTTCTAGACCTAACTGGAAAAACATCTTAGGAAACAGAATGAAGATAAAGAGAGATGGTAGTATGGCTAAGATGAATAAATTATTCTCTCTGTGGTTAATTTCCCTTAAATACGATAGGTGAATTCAAAAAGTTGTTCATTTTGTTTAATTTATATTTGCAAGAATTAATTATCTTCGTACAAAACCCCATCACTTTTGTGACCACACCTTTATACACCCTAAAATAGGGACAGTCCTGATTTGCACAGTAAAATAACCCACCAGTACACTTAGGAGAAGACATCTTCATCTATAATAGGGAATTACTTAAAGGCAAAACTAGGGTTTAAAAGATCTGGTTTACTACTTTGTGACTATAAGGGTTAGAAGCAGAAGCAAAGCAAGACTAAGCAGAAAGTAATCTTACCTGTACCATTGAGTGTACTGTTTTTATTTGTGTACAGCCTGATCATATGTCCTATTGTTTTCACATTTTCTCTCAACATTATACCTCGAGCTTGTACCATAAAGAGATACGTGTTGGCTATAAAAAAAAAAAAAGACAGAGAGAGAATATTGTGACTAAATAAGCTTTTTTATTTAATAACATTCAGAATTAGTGAAGTGCCCAATAAACACAAACTGACTCAATTAGCATGTCCAAAGGGAAAACAGAAATATAAAAACAACTATTTCCCACTATAAAAACTTACAAAAACAAACTGATTTTTTGAAACAATAAAAATGAAAAAATTAAAGTGGCAATATCCATCTAATAGAATAAGACTAAATGAACAAACTGAAACATCATAATGAACCCCTTTACCCATAAATGATTTTCTACCATAAAATATGCTTAGAAATTTCACAAAGGCATTTTATTACAACTACTTAATCCTACAGTTATAAAATTCACTTTCTCTAACTGTATATTCATTTCTCTAACCAAAAACTTCACAAAGGCAAGGATTCCCTGTCTCATCGTTAACATATCATAAATCACCATAATATCTAGTATGGATAAAGATCTTACCATGGATCCTGCAAATTCTCAAGGTGTTTGCGGGGGAGGGGTGATCTAGAATCAGTATGTTTTGGTGATTTCTACCAGTTAATTCCTTAAACTTTTACACTCCCTTTCAATCACCAATCACAAATCTACCCACGAGGATTGTAAAGGCAAATGAAAGCAAAACCAATGTGCATTTTAAAAGTGGGTCAATTTAATTTTTGGTGATAAGTGCTTCAAAAATAGGTTTCTAATTTCTTCCGTTGGGAGAAACCTATAAATTGATAAAGATTACAAAAATGCCTGACTTTTGAGATGCCAAGTCTCCTCAAAGGTACAGAACTAAAGTCAGAAGATCCTTTCCTGGTCCAGATTCTGCTAATGTAGTGTGTAACTTTGGACAGTGCACTGGATCTGTTTCCTCATGTTAACAAGGCAGTACTACAACAGTAGTGCAGTTTCTACTCTAAATTCTCTAAACGCAAAGCCAAAAAAATCATAAACTGCATTCAGATGAGAGGCAGAAGCTCATTATCATGGTGAAACTGAGAAACTGCAAGGCTCAGTTAATGACTCTTCCAATTCTAAGATAAGCTGTCTCTGAACACAGTAATGACACTCTCGGAAAATGAATGCTGAATGAAAAAATTAAGAATGCCAGCTCATTTTCTGAGTCCTGCTCTACTTTCTCAAGATGGTACAAGAGATGAGAGGAATGTAATGTTTACTACCTCCTTTCCCATTTTTATGTAAATTTAAACTTGTTCAAAGTACAAACAAGCAGAGCATAAATAAAACTAGTAAAGAAGCAGAGTAAAATAACACTTTTTCTTTCACCTTTAATCCATAAAAGAGAGATAAACAGAAATCCAGGTTATATATAAGCTTTACTGAAATCATTTTTAAGAGCATGTCTACAGGCTTTCTAGAAAGCGGTCCTATAATTAGATTTAACTTGCTTATGCCTGAATTTATTATACTGGATTACTAACACCACATTTTTTTTTTATGTTTTTCCATTTGAGTGGACCTTAAAAGAATGAAGAAAACAGACAAAGAGAAAAAAGAAAACTAAAAGAACAGCCAACCAAAAATGTGGGAAAATGTTCAAGAAAAGACAAGCTAACATTAACAATTTTACCTAAACCAAGATCTAAAGTTCAATTGGAATAACAGGGGGTGGGAGCATCAAATAGATTACTAATACCAATTGATTTACAGCACCTTAGATTATTTAATCCTAAAGTTATATATGACATTTGTTATTAATGATATAAATATCTTATATTATTTGTTCTACACCGAACTGTAAAAAGACCTGCCACAGAGTCGCAGAACCAAGCTATGGGTAAAAAACTCAGATTTCTAGAAACGACACGGGCCTAAGCAAGGAGACACTAGGTAAGAGCATAATGTGTATTACTGGGTGTCCTGGAAACAATTTTTAAAAATTATGTAGTCTATAGTTATACATAACAAAACTATTAAAAAAATGATTACTGATAGTACCTGTGACAAAGGGGAAATATTTATCAAAATAATGCATTTATACTTATCCATAGATGGATAGAGAAAAAAATCAAAGGAAAAGCTAGACACTAATCTCTTCAAATAAAAAATCTATTAGTTTATTTTAAATCATTTACAGCTAATTGAGTTGCATTCCTTAGGTTAATGGTCCTCAAGGGTTTAATCCCTAAAGATCAAAACCCATTAGAGAATGAAGCTGTGTTTAAATGGAGACTGGTTGTTAACAGGAAGAAAGTGATGTGTCAAAGTGTTGCAAGACACGCTAAACCAGCAAGAGAATGGTTCCGATTGTTTGATTTCCAAACATCATAAAACTACATTAACACACTCAACTAAATACTTGCTAATTATCATTAACATAAACCATAATGTCTCACTGGCAAGCCTTTAGAGAAAATCCTTGTTTAAAATTTCTATTCCAATTTATAAGAAACTACATTTCAGAAAACAAACAGGGAAATTTACCACTGCTTAATTAAAACCGTGCCATGTGTTCCCTAATTTCGTTCATTTTTTTTTTTTTTTACCTCTGCATTGTAAGACATAAATCTAACTTATTTGCCAGTTCTGCTTCCCAGGGTGGGGGAAAAAAATGTCTAAAAAAAAAAACAACCTTCAAAAATCAATATTTTATAAAGGCTTCTAGGCACCTATCCTGGGTTTGTGAGGAAAGATTTATGAACTTGTCTCACTCTTCACTTAAGAAAATTAAGGAATGCACTTGCTATAAAACTGTACCTCCTGGCCCCTTTCCACACTCAGCTTTGTTCACTGGGTATGCTGTAAGTAGTCAAGACAAGAAGAACGTTCTTTTTTTTTTTTTTTTTTGAGACAGAGTCTCACTCTCTTGCCTGGGGCGAGTGCCATGGTGTCAGCCTTGCTCACAGCAACCTCAAACTCCTGGGCTCAAGCGATACTCCTGCCTCAGCCTCCCAAGTAGCTGGGACTACAGGCAGGCGCCACCATGCCCGGCTAATTTTTTTTCCATTTTTAGTTGTTTGGCCAATTTCTTTCTATTTTTAGTAGAGACAGGGGTCTCGCTCTTGCTCAGGCTGGTCTCGAACTCCTGAGCTCAGAACAATCCGCCCGCCTGGGCCTCCCAGAGTGCTGGGATTACAGGCGTGAGTCACCGCTCCCGGCCAAGAAGAACGTTCTTGTCTGCAGGGATCTAGAAATGCTTCCTGGACTGTGAAGGACTCCAACACAACAGCCCTCTGGTCCTGATATCCCTATTCCTAACTGCTGTGACACACTGCCACCATATCCAGGTCTTTGAACAATAGGAAAGTCAAGTGAAGAGCTGATTTTGAGAGGGAGATGATCATGCTGGTCAGGCAATCTGGCATGCAGTTATAAATTATAGGACTGGAGCTAAAAAGAGGGGCTAGAAATATAATTTGGGGAGACAACTGTATAAATGTAAAAGCTGGAACTATCATGGTGAATTACCAGAGAAGAAATTATCTAGTAAGGAGATAAGCAGGTGAGGATCCGATGTATGAATACAGACCACAAATAGGAAGCACAGAAATAAAAGGCACCAAGATGAATTAATCTCAGCTTGAACACAGTGAAGACGCTAACAGGCTAAAGAAGAGGGAGAGGTCAACCATGTCAAATACAGCAGAGATTAAGAAGGACTTAAAAACAGCTTAAAAAAATTATTCAAAACTGGCCAGGCCAGGTGGCTCATGCCTATAATCCCAGCACTTTGGAAGGCCAAGGCAGCAGGATCGCTTGAGACCAGGAGGTTGTGACCAGCCTGGGCAACATAGCAAGACCCCATCTCTGCAAAAAAATTTTTAAAAATTAGCCAGGCGTGGTGGCGCGTACCTGTAGTCTCAGCTACTCAGGAGGCTGTGGTGGGAGGACCGCTTAGCCCAGGAGTTTGAGGCTGCAGTGAACTGTGATTGTGCAACTGCCCTGCAGCCTGGGTGGCAGTGAGACCCTGTCTCCAAAAATAAAAAAAAATAAAAAACAAACACATAGCATACACTCTTTGCCAGGCATCCTGAGATGTACTTTACACATACCAACCTATTTAATCCTCACAAGCAACGCTATCAGGAAGGTACTATTATTATTCATATTTTACAGATAAAGAAATGGAGGCATCAAGTCAAATAATTTGCCCAAAGTCACATAGTTATTAGCAAGTAGTGAAGGGAGCTGGAATTCAAACCAAGCAGTCTGGCTTCAGGGAGCTAGCTCTTGACCTTCACACCATTTAGCCTCTTAAAAATGCTAGCAGGAGATCACTGTAAGCCTTCAAGAGAGCAGTTTCATGAAAGCATCGGAAACAAAAGGAAAATAGTAAAGGACTGAGTGGATACTGACAAAGTGAAAGCAGTAAGTTTCAGAAAAGGAAACTAAGTGATTAGTAAGGTCAAGAGAAGGTTTTTTGGAAGAGGAGGGACATGAACATGACTGTGGCTTGAGTGGAAGAAGCCAGCAGAAACAGTTAACTAACTTAAGGCACTAAAAGAAGCAGAGGAAGGAGGGAAAAGAACATGTCCACTGATGGTACAGTTTAAGCAGAGGCTGTGAGGTGCACAGGTGCAGAGCACACCCAGGGAACGACAATCCAACTTCAGTAGAGTTTGGTAGCAATGGAAAAAAAGTTCAAAATGTCCAAGTGGATGGACGGTTTGAAAAAACAAAAAGGAGGATGAGAGGATTAGAGGTCACTGTGAGAATGAGACACAGCATCAACAAAGGTGAGAACGGCCAAAAGCGGAAGGGTAAGGCGGCTGTGGTCTAGAGAGCTGCCAGGAGAGCAGGCCACAGCCATGCGGACAGCCAAGGCATGGCCCAGACAAGGGACCGACGTCCCAATGGCCACCAACAGGGATGTCAGCAAGAGATTAAAGCAGAGCGGGAACATTAGGAATTCAGTACTAACTGCTGAAATCTTCCAGGGATAAGGAATCTTGGAGGGCACAGGTTTCTAAAGAGAAGGAGATGAATTAACATTTACTGAGTACCTACTTTGGTCAGACACTAAG